CATTTGAGTGGGTAACTCATCAATTAAAGGATCATTTGGAGGTTAGAATGAATCTTTGAAAAGAGAAAATAATTTATTGTACACGGTCAATGAGTATAGTTACCTGTGCAAGTGGTATATCATGTGGACATCTATTTGATAAATGTGGTATCTTTCTTAGATTGAAGTTAGCTTTTCCATCATGAAGCTAGCACGTGATTGTGTCACATGATTCAAACTTGAGAGAGCTTTACAGTCACTTTTATAGATAAAGATAGATGTTCAAGTGTGAATAATTCCCAAAACCCAACACAATTGTCCAATTTGATACTTCGATAGTTTCCAAAGTTAGCAACACATAATATGCTACCACATTTAAGAATTTCTTTCGTAAGAGAAAGAAGAGAGTAATAAGTGAAAAAGTGCTAACTCAAATACATGCTTGCCCCTTTGATGCATCCTCTTTTCTAATTTGGAAACACTTATGGTAATTAGTTAGGTAAACATAGGTGAAATATGAAATGAAATTTACAATTTTGGTACATGAGATTGAAATTAAACTGATACTTTTATGGGTTGTGATATAGTTGTCCATCTCCAAAGTCAGCCCACTAGCAAAGAAAGTTCACTAATCAAGTGAACTTATCTACAAGCAGCAATTTATCCTAGTTTATTGTTTGCCTCAATCTTTGCATGTGATAGGTTACATTTGGATTGAACTGACAATTTATCATAATTTGATTTAAAGCTTTATTATTAAAACTTTTATTTCAAAAGTTTCCAATTTTTTATTGGTTTCCGGGGAACGCACGGGTATACAACTAATATTCCGGTCTCCAAAAGATTGTGCGATTGGAATTGACAAGTGGATTTATAAGCGGTGCTTTGGTAGAGTTCTAACTCCTAGGTTTTACATGACTCTTTACGTAGGTGATTTGAGGGGACACAGAAAGCCATTGGCTTTTCAAGATTTGAATGTCACACTAAAAGGCATTTGTCTGTTCATTTTCAAAGAATTATTAGTTATCAATTCATCTCTTCCAATTAATTCCGGTCTATTTTGTGTTTTCTATTACTATTAGAAATCTGAGCGTCCTGCCTATATCCCTATAATTAGGTAAAGATTAGAGACAAATTAAACCTCCTACACGGGCTTTGACATAAGGTGAATTAGGAGATGCACATAACTTGTGGAACCTCTAAATTGGGTTCTCCCTCATTCTGCATTCATTGGGTGTGGCATGTTAGTCAAAGTTTCAGGTGCGAGGCCTCCGCTGCTGTTGGGATTACTCAAATTACGCGGCTGAATGTAAGAATCACCAGCGTGAGATTGAGGGGGTAGTGTCCAGAATGAAAAGTCCCCCTGTGGGATCATGTTTCGAGCAGGAATAGACTGACTGGGCAATTGAGGGGGTCGTGTCCAGAATGAAAAGTCCCCCCGTGGGGTCATGTTTCGAGCAGGAATAGACTGACTTGGCACATTCGTCTCATGCACTGGAAGAAAGGCTGATGAAGTTTCACCTACAGTGCTTATGGCATCAGACCTCCGGTACAGCATGGCAGTGAATGAAGTCTCTCTCCTAGCATCTTCATTGCTTACAGTCATGGGCTGATGCGGACCCTGTGATAGGCTGGAACTGATTAAATGCGGACCCTTGGACATTGCCTTCCAATCCGTTGCCCGACTTCACCGGTCTTTTATCCTTCACTGCTTTTCGGGCTTCTGATCTCACTTCGCCATTTGACGACCTTGCAGTCTTGAATCCCGAGTCCTCCAACTCCGGCTAAGTGGGCCTTGATCCTGGTCACACTTCCGCCATACTCCTTGTCGCAGAAGTTATACTTCCACTTGTTCTTCTGCCGGAACTCTACATAATCCCGAAAGGAGTCCTCCTCTCTGGGCATTTTTCCCTGCATCCCACAAAAGAATGAGCAAGATATGTTTCTAAGTATAATGTACCAACAAACAAGACCATGAACCCTAGCAGGAGTTTTGCGGATAATCACTCAGGGGATTTGGGGAGGGCAAAAGGGGTCCGCTGCTCTGGGCATTTTCCCTGTATCCCATAAAAGGATGAACAGATATGTTTCAAAGGGTAACGTAACAACAAGGAAGACCTTGAATCCTACCAGGAGTTTCACGCCTACTTAGGGGCTTTGGGGAGGGGAGAAGAGCTCTTTTTGGGTAAAAGAATGGTCTCAGGGCGTGGAAGATATTCAATTAAGTTTGGACTTCTTTAGAGAAAGGCCCTGCTACGGTGACCCCACCCTCATTTCTAGCCAAATTCTCTTTTCATCCCCACACCTGAAGAAAACATGTTTGGTTGGGTTCTGGAAACTTTCTTCTTTTGAAAACACAGGAAACAGATTTCAAATTTTGCTCTTCAGACTGGAAACTACTTTCTGTTGTTTGCAATATTCTCCTCTCTTTGGAAACGCGGTTTTCTTTGTTCATGCTTGTGCTCTCTCTCTCTTGGGCAATTTCTCAGTCACCACGGCCTTGCTGCGCTTAATATGGTAGTTTGTCCCCTGCAAGCGCCATTCCATCCTTGCCGGTTAAAGTTTGCAAGAGAGTGCAAACTCATTTGCAAATCCACCCTCAATGAGCTCAAAATCTTGCCCTTGTCTCCCTTGCAGCAAAATTTGATGGCCCGGGCTCAGCTGCACCCTCAAGTTCTTCCATTTACATGAATTCTTTGAATGCTAATTACTTCTAAGGATACACGGTAAACTATTCAGTCTACACGCATCAAGTATGGCTTGACCGGTGGCTTTCAGAGCTACTTTAAGTTGAGATTTGCAATGTGGTTCAGACATGGATCTATAGCATTCTGACCAAGCGCTTAACTGACCATTCAGCTGATTATGTAATTTATTTTCTACTGCTCACCGGAATCATTAACTATCTAATGTAATATAGATCGCATTCCGAAAAAAAAAAAAACACTCCAAAACAGTCGTTTCCAAAACAAGACCAGACATGATTTAGGTACGAGTTAGTCACCACAACTCTTCATTTTCAATATTTTGTCGGTCGAAGTCCCAAAAAAGCGCACGAGAGATCGATAAAACAGATATATACGAGTGAGGATGATATGATACGTACCAGAAGAAGAACTAAAGCTGCTCTTGAAATTCTGAGGCACAGATCACGATTACCATCCAAAAAATCCAACCGACAGTTTGGCTTTGTCTGCCCCAGTGCAATTTTCACAGGAGCAAAAAGCAAGAGGCCGTGGTAGTCAAACAAAAAATGGTTTGCTGGCGAAGAAATGGTGGAGGTCCGGCTTGGGCAAAGTCAAACAAAAAGATTCGACCCAAAAAAAAAAAAGTCAAACAAAAAGAGGTTTGTAGAATGCGTATGAGAAAAAAAAAAAAAGAAATAGAGACTTGGCCCTAGTCAAAGTCTTCAACCACCGTTTAGCCCCTATGAAGTAATTAATAATAATAAAGGTTAATACCACGAAAAACCCTAAATTGGTATACTTGTGACAATTTTACCCAAAATTATTTTTTTGACCATAAAAAAGGCCAAACTGGTACACTTGTGACAAATCTACCCTAAACTATTTTTTTGACCACCAAAAACTCCAAACTGGTATACGTGTGACAATTTTACCCCGAACTAATTTTTTAATATTATTTTTTATTTTTCGAATTTTTTTATTATTTTTTCTTTACTTTATTTTTTCCTTTCTCTTCAACCTTTGGCCGGTCGCCGGACCGGCGACCGGCCAGAGGCGGAAGCCGGCGAGGTCGGCCTCGCCGGCCACTTGCGAGGCTCGGCCTTGCCGGCGTTGGGCGAGGTCGGCCTCGCCTACGTTGGGCGAGGTCGGCCTCGCCCGCAATGGCGTGGTCGAGCCTCGCCGGATCCGGCGAGGGCCCGCCCCTTGGGCGAGGTCGGCCCTCGCCGGCGATGGCGAGGTCGGCCTCGCCTTGCAACGGCGGCGCGCGACCTCGCCTAACGCCGGCGAGGCCGACCTCGCTCGCAGCCGGCGGCCGAGCCCTCGCCGGATCTCGGCGAAGCTCGACCTCGCCCAACGCCTCGCGGGGCCGACCTCGCCGCAACGGCGAGGTCGAGCCTCGCCGGATCTAGCGAGGGCCCGGTCTGCCGGGCCGCCGGGCGAGGCTCGACCTCGCCCAGGCGTTGGCGAGGCCGACCTCGCCGCTTGTAGGGCGAGGCCGACCTTGCCCAACGCCGGCGAGGTCGTGCCTCGCCAGCTGCCGGCGGGGCCGGGCCCCTGCCAAATCTAGCGAGGCTCGACCTCGCCGTTGCAAGGCGAGGCCGACCTCGCCCAACGCCGGCGAGGTCAAGCCTCGCCTGTGGCCGGCGGGAAAGGAAAAATTAAAGTAAAGAAAAAATAAATAAAAAATTTCAAAAAATAAAAAAATAATATTAAAAAATTAGTTCGGGGTAAAATTGTCACATGTATACCAGTTTGGGGTTTTTGGTGGTCAAAAAAATAGTTCAAGGTAGATTTGTCACAAGTGTACCAGTTTGGGGTTTTTTTATGGTAAAAAAAATAGTTTAGAGTAAAATTGTCACAAGTGTACCAGTTTAGGGTTTTTCGTGGTATTAACCCTAATAAATAATAAAAATCTTAGTTTAGCATCACGCGACTCAGCGACATTATTTGGTGTGACCTTTTAATTGGGTGTGATTTGAAAGTAAATGGTGGAATTTGATTACATAATTATACTATTTTCATACATAATAATAAAGTGTTGGCTAATTTACGATCCAGTGCAGGAAAATTTTCCGTAATCAATTCTATGACTAACATACATGAAATTTTGATCGGACTGGATAGCTGATAACACATTTGATCGGACAATAAAATTTCCATGCAAAAGTGCGTAGGAGCATAAACGGTCATAAAAGTGTTTCCACCTTCTTAAGCTTTGTTTCTTCTGCTGCCTACACTTTCTCGATGCAAAATGTTGCAAATTCACCAAAAAAGGATCAAATTTTCTTGGTGATCTCAGCTTTCCTTCATGAGGAATACGATGTGATTCACAAAAGCCATCCATGTAACATCGATTCCAATCTCTTCAAGTAAGATATAATCTATAACAGTTAAGAATGAACTGCAGTTTTAAACCATCTTAGGGTATCAATAATAAGAAAATAATTATGGATAAAGCATTGCACTTGCCAACCAAGCAGCTAAAGCTCCTGTGAAGAGAGTAATTACTGCTTCACGATTAAACTAGACACTCGCATTTCTAGCTCAAAACAAAAGCCAGCTTAAATTGCACATTCGAACTCGACTTCCAGCACCTTTCATCAACGATTGCTTTCACGATAGGGAAATTGGCTGTGGTTATGCAATAGAACTCCAATTGCTCATCAATTTCCATCAATAAGTTTAAATCACAAGAAGTTAGATTCAGAAGCTGCTCAATCCCCAATCCATTTACCGACGCAGGTTTCTTTAGCATCATGAAACGGGAAAGAATCGTTTCCTCTAAAGAGAGAAGGAGGACGACAATTATCTATCAAGAATTCTGCTGACTCTGGCTACTTGCTATGGAAAATCAATTCATGAGATTTGATCACTGGAGATCAACTCCGTGGACCCCAATTCCACCACCCCGCCAATCGTGGGTATGCAGACCATGGTCTGCAGCCCGAAATCCATGCCCTGTTTTGCCCTCTTGCAGCCACAACAGGCGAGCCTGTCCACTCCGGACACCCAAATCGGGGTCAAACTGAGCAAGGCCTGGCCGGGAAGCCCGTGGCCGTTCACGAATGACTGTGTCATTCACACAAGGAAGAACCACTCCGTGTCGGTGACTTCCTCATCGTTGGCTTCCTCGTCGATGTTGGGGTCGGACCCTCTGATCAGTGAACAGAGCTCGCGTAGCACACGCTTGCGATGTTCCTGTTCCCCAGCAGAGAAGTGCTGATCTTGACCTTTTTGTTGGGCTTTTTGTCCTCGCCCTTGTAGTAGCCATCGCCAAAGCCAAGGACGGGGACCGGCGGGGGTGACGACAAGGCGGCAGATTGTGGGGGGTAGTGGTCATAAGAGGACTGCCAGAAGATGGCATAGGTCCAGCCCTCTTGGGAGGAGAAATCGATCAGGGTCCATTGGTGCTCCGGGTCGAAGTCCGGCGCAGAGGGACGTGGTATATTGACAACTTCAACTGTTTTGCTAAATCCCGCAAGTGTCTTCGACTCTATTCGGAATCTGTCACGAAGTAGAATCTCTTCCACTTCTTTGCTCAATTCTTCCACTTGGGATAATTGTGATGTAGAAAGAGGTCGTCCTTGCCGAAATGCTTGCACTACACTCCAATATTCTCCTTTTCTATTCACTTTCCTCCACCATGTCTCCAGATTGGCCATGTCTGCTTCTCTTCTGCTTAGTTCTTCCAGCTTTGTTAGGAGATGAGGCATATTCTTGTTGACAACCACGCCGCTGCATGGTGGTAGACTCTCAAGCGGGCCATCACGTGTCCTCGCATCTGATGTCAATGTGTAGAAATATTCACTTCGAAATGTTAATGAGGAAAAAAAAGCTCTGTATGTACGTGCTCGCCACTGAATTAACGCAGCCACCTAGCCTGCATCACACTATAAGTTATATCTCATTAAGATTATGTTATAACTTTGAAATTATACTGTGTTTCTTTTCACTTAATTTATTTATTTTTAACATATAGATGTTAAGAGTATGAGACATTGAATATAAATAGTCCAATTTTGTATTTCACTTTCGGGACATGAAAGTCTATATAGAATATTAGTATACCAACATGAGTCCCAGAGCATTAACCAAATATTTATGCAAACCCAGTTAAATTAACGTTTGCAAGGTCAAGTAATATAATTAATAAGAAGTGATGATTTGGTGTTGTAGCTCCTGTATGTCACATAACTCATTTTATTTGTTTAAAAGCTAATGTTCTTTTATGCAGGTGAAGAGAGAAGTATCCGCCATGGAATTTCAAGATATGAATGTCACCCTGTAAGCATTTCTGTGTTCATACTTCAAAGAACCATTACTCATCATAGACCGACTCTTAAACTCCACCCTTCCTTTAATTCCTTTGTGCTTTTTTGTTACTCCCCCCAAAATCTTAATTGTTGGAGCAAAGTAGAAATTGTAAATATTCAGCTAATTAACAAGCGTCTCGATTAGGAATTAGAGAGAGCGAATTCTAGCCTCAGAGTTTGTGACATGTGGGCATGTACGAAAGAGGTTTCGAGCAAGGCAAACGGGTAATGGTCCTTGGGCTTTGCTCCATAAAGTTAATTACGTGAATTGATCATGGCAAACTAACAGATTGATCTCCCATTTTATAGTTAATTGGACTTAATTCAATGCAACCATTAAAGAATTTTAAGCACCCTGGCCATCCCTTTTCTTAGGTAACAAGGATTAGAAGACAAATCAAGGCATGAGAAATCAGCGGTAGCACGAGCCTCACCAGGTATGGTGAACTTGCCGATGCACATACCTTGTGGAACCTCCGTATCGGGTTCTCCCTCTTCCGCATTCAGACCTAGAGAGCTGATGTCATCTGGGTTCAGAAAGGGTATGGCAGTGGATGAAGTCTCGGGTTGATGCTGGCCCTGTGTAAGGCTATTGCCTCCTGATCCGTTGCTCGACTCCACCACTCCTTTACCCTTCAACGCTTTTTGCGCTTCCGATCTCACTCTACCGTTGACGTCCTTGCGGTCATTGGTCCCATATCTTCCAACTCCGGCTATGTGGGCCTTGATCCTTGTCGCGCCTCCGGCATACTGATTCCCGCAGAAATTACACTTCCACCTTTTGTTCGGCAGTACCTGTACATGCTTCCGAAAAGGGTCCGTCTCTCTGGGCATTTCCCCTGTATCCAACACAAGAACAAGCAGATGCGTTTCAAAGGATAACGTATCAATAAGGAAGACCATGAATCCTAGCAGGAGTTTCACGGATAGTTTACTCAGGGGATTTTGGGAGGGGAGACGAGCTCTTTCCGGGGGAAGAATGGCGTCAGGGTAATTAAAGTTTGGACTTCTTTAGAGAAAGTCCCTGCTACAGTGACCCCACCCTCAATTCTAGCCAAATTCTCTTTTCATTCTCACACATGAAGGAAACGTGTTTGGTTGGGTTCCGGAAACTTTCTTCTTTTGTAAACACCGGAAACAGATCTCAAATTTTGCTCTTCAGACTGCAAACTACTTTCTGTTGTTTTCACATAAGAGTTTTTCTGATATCGTCTATATTAATTGAGATTATACTTTAATATTTTACGGGATTAATTTAATAAAGTAAGATTTAAAGATCTTTATTTAGTCTAATATGGGACTGGTTAGTATCGGCCGAGTAAAACTTAGCCTGTGACGAGAGCGTTTGTGGCTTAAAACTCTACAAACAGTATTCAAGTCTCTCCTCTAACCTGATGCACAAATAATCTCACATAAGAAACAAACACTGAGGGACAGTCTCATTGAGCCAGTGATTTAAAGGGAAAATCGTCTTTATTCAGCATCAAGAGCGATGGATTCTAAAATAGGTGTGCAATTCCCTTTTACTTAATTACCGTGTTCTAAATTATAGTTATGGAGATCTTGGGTGCAGTTTCCGGGCCAACATTTCAATGTTCTCTCTTTGCAACCGCAATTTTCTTTTTTGTTCCCTGTTCATGCTTGTGCTCTCTCTCTCTCTCTCTCTCTCTCTCTCTAGAGCAATTTCTCAGTCGCCATAGCCTTGCTGCGTTGAAAATCGTAGTTCCTTGGCTGCAAGCGCCATTCCATCGTTGCCAGTTAAAGTTTGCAAGAGAGTGCAACCTCAATTGCAAATCCACCATCAACGATCTCAAAATCTCACCCTTGACTCCGCTTACAGCAAAATTTGATGGCCTGGCTCAGCTGCACCCTCAAGTTCTCCCGTTTACGTGAGTTGTTTGAATGTCAATTACTTTTAAGGATGCCCAATAAACTCTCCAGTTTACACGGATCAAGTATGGCTTGACCGGTAGCTTCCAAAGCTAGTTTGAGTTGAGATCTACGGTGGGGTTCGGACATGGATCTGTTGCATCAGGGACCAAGCTTGTCTGGCCACTCAGCCAATTACGCAATTATATTCGATAAAGCAACAAAAGTCTTTGCTCACCGGAAAAATTAACTATCCCATCTAATAGAGAACACATTCCAGAAAATAACTCCCAGAACAGTTGTTTCCGAAACAGGACCAGATATGATTTTGGTATGAGTTAGTGCTTAAATTACTGTTCTATATCGGGCCGATTAAGCAACTGAAGTGTTCGTTGTTTCTCACAGATATAGCAGATCTGGAAATTTAAGTACATTTCAAGGTTAAGATCCTACAATAAAGCAAAGATACGTACAAGGAGGAGTACTAAAGCTCGGGTCCAGTTGCTGCACAAACGAAGGCAAGGAATAAAAAACCTTCTGATAAAGTACGAAAGGAACAGGAAAATGGGGAGAAGTTTATGGTGGTTTGTCACTGGTGAGAACAGGACACAGACTTACAATGTACAAGTCGAGGAGGGCGGCAGCAACCACTGGGGTTGCCCCGGTTGTCACCTTCAGCGGGAGGTAAAGAGTTCGATTTCCCACATTTTCAGAAGAGTAAGGGGTAAAAACGTTTAGTTTCAGGTGTGAGATTCGACTTTCGGAACAACGTAACTCATTGCTCCGACATCTATTTCGGGTGATTTTGTTTTATTCTGAAAAAAATTTCCGAGGGGAGACTCACAAAACTAATAAATTACTTGAAAACACTGGGAAAAAGCTATTAAAATACTTCTCCGAATTTTTCTCTTTTTCGAAAATGTTTGATTGGGCAAAATTTCGGGATCTAAAGAGAATTATAACATTTTTAACACTTATTTTCCTATTGAAAAAGGACATTTCAACACATAATTTTTGTTTTCAAAATTAAAATATGTTTGCACATTGGATTTAGGATCGAAGGACCGTCTTTCTCCCTTCCTGGTCAGTTTTTGAAACTATGCAGTATCACGGGATTCTACATGTTCGCTTGGTGGGTTCCTTTTGTCCCTCCCAGCTGACATCAATGACGAGACCACCAGACATCGGCCCATGGTCGAGGGGCATCGATCCCTTTATTTTGCAAGAGGTGATCAAAGAAAGGAAAATAACCACGGAATTGCGTCTCAATCCCCTAATTTTACAGTGGTCGCCATTCTTCTACCACAAATCAAGGATTTATTCGTAGCTGAAACATAATTGCAAAGACAGCTCAGCGCCGGAAAATGACGCAGATGATGGAGTTGTGCCGGAAAATGATGCATATATTGACCGACAAGACTAAATGCTTTGTAATTACGTCAATTCCTAATTCCCAATTATAATTCAAGCAAAAAAAAAATTCATATATAGGGTCTAGTCTAGTTAAATAGGGTCAACCCGACCCAACCCCTAAATTGCTTGAACAATTAGAAATATTAAGATTTACTTGGTAAATTGATTTACTTAGTAATGCGATAATCTGTAAGTAGTTGTTTCCATTAGCAAAATCTTTTAAACACCCAACAGAAAATCTATCACTTGACTCAGCAAACAAATTCAGTCGACGAGTCTTGGTATGCCTACATTAATTAACTGATTTTGATCATATTTCTGACTAAGCCAAAATTTCAATCAGGATTCAAGCACAAAAAGAGGCTTATTCACAGGTTGGCTCAGGGTGGGTTGACCCGAAGCAACTCGGAAAATTTTGTTGGGTCAGAGTCGGGTAGACCGGTTTTTTTGCGGGTTGGGAATATTGTCCACCCATACCCTTTTTTCGAGAGCAGATTATAAGGTGTGCTTTTTGGCAAAAATGAACCCGGACCGGTTAACCCGCCCCGGTTTCTCATCCTCGTTAAAATTAAGCAAAAACACATCTTCAAATCCCATGAATTTCTTATGTATGTCTTAGAAAGTTTGGTAATATACGATAGCTGCCGAATTAGTTCCTGGCTTCTGGCCATCAAGTCACCCCAAATCGGCTACACAATCAAAATCCACCATTTTTGTAGCTTTTCATGACGTCCTCTTTGAGTATGTTGGTCCAAAGCTGACGATCAACTTCCTCCGTTTTCTTCAATTTTTTGTTTCATCGCAAGTTGGCTGTCTAGTGTAGCGTCTCATATGAATTAGCGGCTGGTGCATTAGCATTGCATCGTATTCCATGAGCCTCATTTTCATGTGGGGAGGAAGCAGGAGATTTGATGCGTTGAAATTCAGTGGCTTTGGAATTATTTGGCATTAACTCGTCCACCAAATGAAATTTTTCACAAACTATCCGACCGTGCCATGCTACGTTTCTCATTTAGGCAATCCATACTCTTTTAAGTGGATCTCCATACATTTGTGTATTTGGATCTCAGACACAATCTTTCAATGGGAGCTTGTGTGGTCTTTTTAAGGGGCTGATTCTTCAGTCATAAGGCCATTGCAATCACATACTTTTTTTCTTGTCATAAGTTTTATAGAAAGTATCATTGAAACATCAAAGTTTTCAATAAGTGGCTAAGTTCTTTGCTTTGATAATTCGACGGATGCCAACTCTCCCACGATAAGTGCCTCGAAGGGATTAAACAATCCTCCTGCATTCATTTTCTATCCATTTATGTGAGTGCGACGTCAAGTCTACGCATCGGGAGGGTCGGTCCAGCTTGGTCCAATAAAGGTAGTAGGCTAGGCTGTCCAGTCTATCAAGTCTCTCTCACATGTGGCCCATTCACACGTGCACGCTCTATTCTTTCTTTATTCACATAGAGTTCACCAACCCGGTTTATTTGTACCGCTTTCGCAATTCTAGAACGTGCTAGGAAACCCACACAACGTTTTAACCGGTCCTGTTGGGCCGGATAAATGGTCATCTTCAATTGTTCTGTTGAATCTGTCCTAAACTCGGTTCATACTGGCCTAGTAACCAAGAATTCAAGCTTCAACCTCATTAACAAAGTAGCTTGGAAGCGCCAATAATTAAAGAGAAATCAACATTACCCGTCCTACGTTAATTTCTTAAAAAATCTTCCATCCGAGGTCAACGATTGCGTGCAATCGCTCAACGTGGTCAACAATTCTTTCACTTGAATTCCATAATGTATTTCTTAATCAATGACCAAGAGCCATTCAAGGTGAAGCTTCACCTGGAGAGGGGTTGAAGGAGAGAGGGATGGAAGTGGTCGTTCCAACCGCAATCGACCACGAAGTTGAAGCCGTCGATGGAGATGGAGTAGGAGAGAGGGTGCTATTGCAGACGCCACAGAGTGGCGTCCCCTCACCCGATGTTCCCATCTTCAATCTTCTCCAACTGCCAAGTTTTTGGGCTTTTGAGTCTCTGTGACTCCCGTTTTATTGGGGTTTTTGGGCTTATGTTGGAGGAAAGGGAAAGGGAAAGGGAAAGAGAACTATAAGCAGGAGGAGGAGGGACAACGACCAACGGGCGTCGTCTTGGACATGACTGACATTACACGATTTTCCAAGGATCTTTCCTTTTATCAACTGATGACAAACGATTCATATATGAACTTGCAACTGTTTAACTAGCTTGTTTTTCCTTTCCAGAAAAGCATACTGATCCCACGGTCGCCATAAAAAAAAAAAACTTTAGCAGACAAAAAATTTTATCTATCTAAAGCTAGCATAATTGGTAATTCAATTTCACACCACTTTAGCTTTGGTGATATCATCATCCTCTTCTTTTCCGAAAAGATGCAAAATAATTAAGCCCCAGAATGCTAATAGATGAATTTGTGATTTAAGCCCCATAATGGAATATAGAAACCCGGTTCACTTAAGTCATTCCATTCCAAGCTTCATAATTTTTTTTTTTATAAATGATTTTTCTTCATGTTTTCTATGTCACTAGCGAGATTGGATAAAAATAAAAACCCAAAGTTAGGCTTGCCCCAGCAGGATTTAGTGCGCGCATTATTTCTAATCAGGCTTGCTTTGTCAAATAATAATCTCTCACTGACCTTATTTAGGGCCAACGATGAGATTTGGCTAAGCTACAATAAGTTGGGATGAATCGTGGGTGTCGAGGGATCTTGATTAGGCTCCTAGTAATATTTATCGTACATAATTAATTTGTTCATGTTGGATATTATAATCGATGTATAAATACACATAGCTGTTGTATTGCAGAGCACGGGCGGGGTCGGCCTATGCGCTTTCATACTATCCAACGAGCCTACTGGCCCAAAGAAACACCGGGCGGCTCCGCTTTCTACTTCTTCTCGTGCAGCATCAATCCTTTCCGGCATCGCTGTTGTGTTTTCCCTCAGGCGGGCTCTCTACATTGCTTCCTCCATTCCCTCCATGTTCTTCCTTGCGGGGGTCCTCCCTTTCATCTCAGAGTCCCCACGGTGGTATCTTGTCCAGGAGAAAATTGACGAGGCCATGAAGCTTATGCCAGCTATCGCCAAAGCCAACAAGAAACACCTCCTCAGTGGGGTCATTCTCGCACTCGATGAGGAAGTGAATGAAAATTCGAATAACGTTCGATCCTGCAAAGATCAGATGGACACAAACGATGTGATAACAGGGGGTCTCTCATTGATGTGGTGAAGTCGCCTATCACTCTGATTCGCCTTTTCTTGTCCATGGCAATCAACTTCCCGTGTTCAGTCGTGTACAGTGGCACTAGCCTAAACGTCATCAATCTCCAGACCAACCTTCACCTTAATTTGTTCC